TGTTTTACAATCTCCCCTCCCAATTTTTCTTTTTTTAAAAAACCTTTTTATTGCCTTGCATATAATAATTTGTTTACATTGTGTTTCATTCATGAAGATCATATTTTTCAACTACATCTTATTTCCAACTTTTACATTCCAGCCACCCATTATTATTAATTTATCTTGATTTCACGCTTGATCAATTTCAGACTGGAGAATTTGGTAGAAATCCCCTATTTCTTCATCTTTAGTGGATGGTTCATAGACTAAATATTTCATTAGTATTTCATTTCCCTGTACTACCCCATCAATGACAGCATTGTGCTTCAAAATCTAATTTTAAAAGGCAACTCGAGCACACAAAGTTTTATAAGAAAATGTGGAAAGACTTGGAGTTAGAAAAGCAAAAGGAAAGAACCCATTCAACATTTCACAAGATTAAAGAAGTGAAGAAAAAAGTCAAGCCCCAAGTTGCAATACTGAAGGATCTAACTTGCAAAATCTTGAACGATGCAGGAACTATCAAAAGAAAATTCGGCCTTCCCTCAAAATCTCCTTTCTAGGAGAGAGATCTGACCCCTTGGGGATGTAACTTCCTAAAAAACCTATCATTACTATTTAACTCACACACACACAAAAAAAAAAAAAGAAAGAAAAATAAAAAGGAAGGAATACACTAAATCACTGTACAAAAAAGAACTGTTCGACAATGAACTATTTTAGAAAGTAGCATATGACCAAGAACCAATAGTACTGAAAGAAGTCCAAGTTACACTAAGGACCCAGGACCTGATGTAACACCAAATGAAGTTTTTCAGAAAACAAACACAATCCTGGATATGCTTACCAATTGCTGTCAACAAATATGAAAGGCAGCTACCTGGCCAACTAACAGGAAGAGATCTATATTTGTTCCCATTCCTAAAAAAGGGGATCCAATAAAATGTGGACATTATTAAACAATTATCATTAATACCATAAGCAAGTAAAATCCCGCTGAAGACTATTTTAAAAATGGCTGGAAACAGTACACTGACAGGGAACTTTCAGAAATTCAGGCTGGCTTCATAAGAGGTCATCACTGCTAATGTCCCTGACAGGGTACGCCTTGTCCTCAAGGACATGCTCCTGATGAGCAGGTACAGAGCATGTTTTATTCTTACAGGTGCTATTTGAAGACTCGGTGCTAACAGGGCAACCTCTCCTTTTCTCTTCCTGCACTGAACATCCTGAGGTGATGGTGGAGAGGCTATCTCATAATCTGATGCACATAGGAACTGAACCTCCTCAGCAGGAGGGGATGCAGAAAATCCATGGCTGGAATTAAGATGCTGTTGCAGGTGACTAGCCCTAGCTTTCAACCACCAGTCTGAGGCCCGCTGCCACCTCCCTTTCTCACTGGCCTCTGCATTCACCATGGTAACAGAGACTCTTGAAAAGCAGAGATCGTGACTTAATTTTATCTCTGTATCCTTGATGCCTAATTGATGTCATAGCTAAAAATGTATTAGACTGTGCAGACAATACATTATTCATGCTCTTTCACATAAGTAAAAAGTGCTTTTTCTTACATAATATTAAGAATGTGTCCAGTAACTATACAAATTCTGTAAGATAATCCAGAATGACTCTTCTTACCTACTCCAGTGATAATACGTAATTAATGTACTTCTCTAAATATATTTATGATAATTCTGATACTATCAAAATGTAAATTTCTAAAGGAGAGGGAATTTTTTAAATTCATAATGGCTTAGGATACAGTTACATCTGTAAGATCATAAAAACTAACTCCGTCTTGACCGTTCGCCAGGGCTTCTTCTCACTCACGCAGGTGGCTCAGCTGTGGTCCTGCCTGGAAGGAACTCACAGTCCATTGCTGCTGACGGTGGACAGAAGATGTGTGCGGCCCAGTGAAAAGGTGAGCTCCAAGGAAAATGGCCAACTCTACGTCGTAAAGTGCTCCCTGTTGCCCTTCAAGGGCCCCAAAGACAGAGCCCGCAAGCTGGTGGAGGTGAGGCCACGAGAAGGTGGGACAGCACCCCCACTGGGTGTGGATGGAGCATGCCTGGGAAGAGCGTGGCCTGAGCCTGCAGCAGCACTGCTAGGCCCACGGCACCAGCCTGCCTGAGGTCCAGCTACCTGAGGGACACTCTGTTGGCCCTGGCCCACCTACATGGCCAGGGCCTGGTCCAACTCGACATCAAGCCCGCCAACATATTCCTGGGCCTGTGTGGCAACTGTAACCTGGGTGACTTTGGGCTGCTGGTGGAGCTGGGCTCGGCTGGGGCCAGTGAGGCCCAAGAGGGGGATCTCTGCTACATGGCCCCTGAACTGCTGCAGGATTCTTACGGGACAACGGCAGATATATTCAGTCTAGGCCTCACCATTCTTGAAGTGGCCTGCAACATGGAGCTTCCCTATGGTGGTGAGGGCTGGCAGCAGGTGAGCCAGGGCTACCTGCCCCCCAAGTTCACTTCAGGACTGTCTTCTGAGCTGTGTGTCATCCTTGCCATGATGTTGGAGCCAGACCCTACGCTGCGGACAACAGCCAAGGTGCTTCTGTCACTCCCCATGCTCAAGGAGCCCAGGCTCTGGAGCATGCTGTGGTCCAAGGCAGCCAATACCCTGAGTTGAGGGTGGGTACTTTCTCAGGCCTTGGTCTCCCTGCTCTACTACTTGCTGGCCTGCCTTGCCAGCTGGCTGCAGCCCCCAGCCCCACTGACCACCCCTCCCTGTTCACCCCACTGCACTTTCCTCTGGGACCACAAGCTCTCCAGCAACGTGGAGGACAACAGCTTCGGGGACCTCCTGGATCTGAACAACATGGACTCGGCACCTTCTGAGGACTCCATACTGTCCTTTGAGCCCTGGAACCTCCTCAGCATGTTTGAGGATTCTCTGGATCCCAGCGCCCCCACCTAATTTAGAAATTCTTAACTTTTTACCTCTCATCATTCTGAACACCCTCTCTGACTATTAAAAGGTATTCACGTCTTGGGTACACCTTGGTTTGTACAGGTGGCAACACAGGAAAAAAACCAACTAACTCAGTCTTAAAAATGAAGTAAAAAAAAGTTCTGTTCTGCTCAAGCCCTCTTAAAGTCAAGCCTACTCAAGAGGAGTTAACAGGGTTAGTTACTAGAGATCAACAAGGTGTTAAAAGTATTTTAATACTGCAAATTTATCATCTATTAAAATTTTTAAAAGTATCTTAGATCAGATAGCCTCTCAAACTAACCTTAGTCGCATTGAACACTCTCCTTCTTCTTGGGCTACCCATCCAACATCAGCAAAAGACACCACCGCATCCTGTCCTGGGTGGCTGGGACTCCACTCTGCTTCATGGTTGGTAAGCTAAAAGTTACAAAAAGGAAAAATTATTTATCTGGCACCAAATATTAAGTGTAAATAAAGGTCTCCATAAAAGACATCATTAGTCCTATGACAATATTTGCCTACTAGTATGTTATAATCTCTGAATTATAATTTAACTTTGGTTTGTATTTTACAGGGCAATGATAATGAATTCCTCTCACCCGCTCCTGCCCCTTGAATAATCTACTTCATCCATCCTAAAAATTAAAAATTCTTGCTCATTTAAGTTAAAAAAAAAAAAACAAACCAACCAACCAACCCAAACCCAGTAAAATCAAACAAGGAAGTAGACAAAAATGCTAAGACCAAAAAAATTTACAAATTAGTGCTACGTTCAGAAATTTTCAGTTTTAAAGGAGTGTGTGTATACATACACACTATTATAAAGGTCAAAAGAGATATTTTTAGGTGCAAAATCTTCTGATTTTTAAAAATATTTATCAATAGTCACTGCCAAAATTAAGGTCAAAACCACAACACAACACTTAGGGCCACTGTCTACATGAGAAGAGTAGAGATTTAAGAACTCAACCCAGTCAGAAAGGAAAAATAAAACCAAAACACACAATAAAGTTTATATAAAAGTGCTTTTCAAAATACTAATGTAATCCACTGTATAGGTGAGGAAATAACTTGTCAGAAGAGAAAATAGGACTTTGAACAAGTAGACTTTTAAGACTGAACAGAATGTGTACGTATTAAATTATAACATAGTAATCAAAAGGAAGATTCTAGTACTTTTCCAGAAAGTTACCAAAATACATACAGTTAAATGGTGTTGTTAGGTGCCATTGAGCTGACTAGCCACCCTATGAACAACCAATCAGAACTTCACCCTATCATGTACCACCCTTAAAATCTGTGAAATACTCAATAGAGCCCACTGTTACAATTATTGTGTTAATCCATCTTGTTGAGGGTCTTTTCTCTTTCTCTAATACTCCACCTTTGCCATCATGATGTCTTTTCCCAAAGACTGCCCCTTCCTGATAATACGTTCAAAGAACATGGTATGAAGTTTCAACATCTTTGTGTCTAAGGAACACCCTGGCTGCACTTCCTCCAAGATAGATTAGCAAACAGATATCCTATAAAACTTAATCCTCCTGTATCTACAATCAAAAGTAGAACAACATAATGACATTGCTAAATCAGGAGCTTCTGAGTGGATTCCAACTCACAGTTAACTCCATGTGTGTCTAGGTGGACTTGAACCACCACCTTTCTTTTAGTGAGTATCAGGTACCTTAATAATTTATACCACTCAAGGACTCCTTAATATTTAATATTTTTATAACTATTAAAACAGGGAGTTTATGAGATGGTATGTGAAGAGTCTTCAACAACAAGGTCATCAAGCTATTTCTTTTCATCAAGCTTTTTAGAAAGTGCTGTACTGTAAGGACTAGTTTGTAAAAGTGAGGGAAATAAAAAAACTAAACACTAAATAATGCCTTTCAAAGGGACTAGTTCATTAATTTCCCTCTGCTTAGGATCCTTTGTTTCAGATACAAAAAGATAAAACTTTGTTTCAACTGTCACTAGCTGGTATGGAATTAAATATATTTAAGATGGATAAAATCTCGTTTTGACCTTAAAATCACTTATTTTCATCACAAGTATATTTCTAAGAAAAGGAACATTTTTCTAAGAACAAATACTTGAAAGATATAAATATGAATATATTCTGTGGCAATTTTTCAAGGTAGCTTATATAGTAAATAATCTTTTCTATCCCAAATTGTCTTATACTTTGAATTTTTGGTTGATACCCTTTATTTCCATGCTGAACCAAGAGTATTTCTAATACAGATTTTGGCACATTAGATGTGAGAAAGAGGTGTCCCTGTGGACTTTGGGGTAGGACTGTGAGGGACACAATTCCTATTCTAACATACAGGTGCAAAATTATATGATACAAATGTCTCTTTTAGATTCTATGTCACTTTATAGATACCTGAAAAGACAGTAATTGTGTGAATCTAGAATCACCAAGAGAAAAGCTACTCCTAAATAAGGAACGAAACCAAAAAGCCAAGCTCGCTGCCCGGACTCAGTGCTGGCCTAAATCTTTACAGAAGGAGATTGTTCATCTTTCTCTCATGGAGCAACTAGTAGATTTAAACTGCTAACCTTTCAGTTACATTACATACTATACCACCAGGACTCCTTACCTTAAATAATGTGCAGGAAATTAGAAATATACTTAGAAGACTCACCCAGTAAAAAAGGTAAAAGAGACAAAACTTTTGCAAAATCACACATCCAGGATGTATATGACCTCTTGGAACATCCTCTAAAATCAGTCATTTGCAGCACATGCCTATTTCTTCCATTTCTAACTATTACAGAGCTCTCCTGACAGCTGCATACACTGTTAGTGGGAAAGTGGCAGTCCAATAATCCAAAGAAGAGGAAAACTTAAATCGGCTCCAAGTGCCATAGGTCACAAAAGAGTTAAGGACACCCCCCCACCCCCCGGCAAAAAAAAAATAAATTAAGGACCAACTATAATCATTCTCACTTGAACAACTATAATATTTAATTTATTAAGCATATAACTATGTTTTATGGACAAACTTTAAAATACACAAGCACACATAGATAAAAACAAAACAGACTATTCCATAGACGTTGTCTGCAATCTTCATAAACACTGAATATACTTACTCTCTACAATAATATCACACCTCTGGTACATGCTCAGTCAGGGGACATATTAACGATACTGTTGATTACCAGCTCCAAAACTGATGAGCTCCTAATCATTTCTACTTGATAGGTTGCCTCACAAAGCAAAGAAGTTTTGACATTTAAGTTACAAAGTCACATGACACAGTGATGCATGCCACTAACAAAACCCTAATTTGAATTCTCATTTCAGTTGTTATCAGGGGAAACATGCATTTAGTGGTGCAAGCATGAAGTGGAAGAACAATCCATCCACTAAGTGTATGGGGATGATGAGGAGGGCAAGGGCAGGAAGCTTCTAGAGGTACAATTTGAATGTCACTATTGATAAACACAAAAGACAGATGAGAATGATGAATAAAAGGTGAACTTACTGAAGGTTCCAAGAAAGGTCCTGTTCTACTATAGCTACTGTTAGTACAAAAGGGAAAATAAAAAGACATAGAAAAAGAAAATTTCAAAATCAATGATATTTTAATAATAATAAGTTCAGAGCTTCATAACTTACAAGTATCCCTATTCCTCTCAAAAATGAGGAAAACCTTATTTCATTCACAGCAAAAATTCCATAGCACTTCTGCTTTTTTAAAAAATGGAGTTAAGAATTAAGAAGTTCAATTCACATTTGATAAAATTTAAATTATTAAAATTTAATTGTATTTAAGGAGTCTTACTAGGCAACTTTGGTACATTTAAAACATTCTGGTAATAAAAAACTGTCCCAAAAAAATGAATTCATTTAAATGAGGTGCTTACCAGAAAAAAAGCAAGACTGTAAAGAAGTTGAAATGCTTAAAACAGAACTATCAGAAGCAGTGGGTCAGCCTGTGGATAAGGAAAGCATGAAAAGGAAAGCCTTCCTATTATTTCAGCCTTTCAAATAAACCAGTAATGCTAGCTGTTAACAAACTTTTGTTTCATTTAATTTAATCACCATTTACAGTAAAATGCAAGATATGTTTACTTTAAAAAATACAGTAACAACATGATAATAATTAGCTTTTTTTACAAAGGGAGTTTTGGGTTGTTGGGTTTTTTTCCCTACTAATTTCTATAATTTTAAGACCATCTGAAAACTGGATCTCTGTACTTCAATATAGAGACAAATAAAGAAAGCCCAACAGCACAGTGATAAAGAGCATGGCTGCTGACCATGTCAGCAGTGGTTCAAAACTACCTGTGTAAAAGAGAAGTGACAGAGCTACAACCTTGAAATCCCTATGGGGGTTGTGTTATTCTGTCCTGTAGTTTTCTATGACTCAGAATCCACTGGATGGCAATTACAGACACCCAGTAATATCAACAGATCTGGAAGCTGGACTTGCAAGCATTCTCGTTGAGCCTCAGTAACCAATGGTTCTGAATTACACGGCTACTTTTTTTTTAACTGAATAGTTACTTAACACTTTCTATGCATTGCATGCTACATCTAGCATGGAAGTGGCATCCAGGGTCATGAGTGAGAAGGAAGGTTTTTCACTTCAATTTATTTAGAACACTGAAATTAAATTTCATTCACATTTTAATGAGATGTGTGTGTGTGTGTGTGTGTGTGTGTGTGTGTGTGTGTGTGTTTGCGCGCACACGCAAGCAAAAGCCACTGAGTTGGATTCAACTGGCACAGGAGGAGAATACCCCTCCTCCAGTAGAGCATCTCGTAGATTTGAACCATACACCTTCAGGATTAAAGCAATTAACCTTTAAGAAAATAAAATGGTTCAAAATATTTGTTAAGAGTTGTGTGCCATGTAGTCAGTACCAACTCAGAGCTGGACCTCCAGTGGGTTTTCAGAGGCTGTAAATCTTTGAACCACTAGCTGCTCTGGGTTGGCAGTGCAACTCCTTATGAGTAGACTACCCGAACTCCCTTCATTAGAGTTAGGATTTAAATTACTATGTCTCAATGCCCAGCTTAGAAAACATAATACAAATAGCTAAATCCAACTGTCCTTAAGGCTCTTTAAAAAAAAAAAATCCAAAACAACTATGAGGTATCATCTCACCCCAGTCAGAATAGCAAGATTTAACAGAACAGCAAGCAACAAATGCTGGAGAGTTTGTGGAGAGACTGGAACCCTTATTCACTGTTGGTGGCAGTGTAAAATGGTACAACCACTATGGAAGGCTGTATGGAGCTTTCTCAAAAAGTTGCAAATAGAAATACCATTTGACCCAGCAATTCCACTACTGGGAATATACCCTCAAGAAACCATAACTGCCACCCAAGCAAATATATGAACATCCATGTTTATTGTGGCTTTGTTCACAAAAGAGTTAGAAACAACCCA